CATAACTTTCAAATAACTATGCACAAACTATACAAACAGGATAAATTGGAGAACCAGGGGAACCAGGAAAGCCTTCTTGCAGAAGGCAGGATTTCAGGGAATACCTGAAGGAAGCCTGGGAAGCCAGGAAACAGATAATAAAGAAGAAAATCGCAGGACAGAGGGAGAGCTAATGAAAATACCAGGATTTTAGGAATGGAGCTCCTTCGTTGAGCAACAAGAAGGTCATGTACTGTGGGAATCTAGTGAACCTCTCTGACTCCATCTTGTGACTCAATCCGGATCTGGCTCTGTTCCCTTTCTATTCAATCATGGATCCAGTCCAATTTTGGTCTTATAAGAAAACAGTCAAAGGAATCTTAAGAAACATTTATTGCATTGCTTAAACCTTGCCCTGGACCACCTCTACTTGTCGCTTGGAGACCCTTAACTAAAGGATCTGAAGTTATGGTGCCCAGAACCAATTAGATCCAAAGACAGATACAAGGAATTTTTTAGTAATTATACATCTCAAGCAACCCACGTGTCTTATCTGAAAAATGGCCATATTTTCAATCAGTTACTGTTTCCTTGTTCCTTTGATCGAAACAGACACTGTGGGGAGATGGGGGACGGCACACCTCTTTTTCTGATTTCAGGAAATTGTACCTGTTTGCTCTCTCCCCTCCCAATTCTCAAAATTCACTCATCCCCCTCCCAACCTGGAAAGCCCTTAATCTTTCCTGGATTTAGAATCAGATTAACCTAATCTTGTATCCTGGTTTATATCCTGTTAATTGTTTTCTTTTCACGTATAAAAATCTGTTTCCCCCTGTATTTGGGGGCCAGTGCAAAACTGAGGAAGGGGCCTGGTCCTGATTTATTGGGCACTTGGCATACATTGCTTCATAAACTGATATGCTTCAATCTTTGTTTCCTCGGTTATTTCAGATTTCACCCATCACAGTATCAATGGATCACAAAGTCAGCAGAAGCAGGTAAGGTATAAAAAGACTAGAAAGGTAGGAGGGGGCCAGATTATAAAGGGCTATAAAAAGCAAAGAGATGATTTTTATATTTCATCCTGGAGGTGACTGGGGAGTCACTAGAGCTGACTGAATACAAGGGCTGACATGATCAGAGCCGTGTTTTAGGAAGATCAATTTGACAGCTGAGTAGAGGATAGACAAGAATGCAGAGACATGAAACTGGGAGACCAACCAAAAGTCTACTGCAACAGATAACAAACGCCCGAACCAGGGTGGTAGCAATAACAGAGGAGAGAAGGGGGCATATGCAAGACATCAACAGACTGGTAATTGAATGCACATGGGGACTGAGAACGAGCAGTGAAGGACAATACCTAGGTTGCCCCCCTGGTGACTAGGGGAATGGCAGTACCCTAAAGAGTATAGCAGATAATTCAAGAGGGAAGGGTGTGGTGAGGAAAGATGAGTTCAGTTCTGGATATGTTGAGTAAAGATGTCCATTAGACAATTGGAGAAGTAAAAATGGAGGTCAGGAGAAAGGTTAGGCCTGGATAAACAAATCTGATAATGATATACATAGAAATCACCGTTGAACCCATGGAAGCTGTTGAAATCAGCAAATGAGAGCAAAATAAGAAAAAAATAAGAGGGCCCAGGACATCTAAGGGTACAATTACATTTAGATTTCAATAGGAAGAGATTAGGAGGTCAGAGGGAGGGATATTTTAAGTAGTGAAAAAGACACATGAAAAACTATGGAGATATGCATGAATGTGAAGTATTTTAGAGACAAGAAGTAATCTGGCTAAAGCAAATACTATGTGCTAGGAAGAAATAGGAAATGAGGTTGGAAAAGAAGGCTGGAACCAAACCATGGGAAGTGTTGGACTATAAATTTTTACATTAGGAGATCAGTAATGTAAATCTATTTTAAATTTCTAAGTATATTCAGGAGCAGCAGCATCAGTGCTATATTTTATGAAAATCAACCTGCCCCTAGCTGCAGGATGAAATGGAAGAATAGGCAAAACACAGGACAAACTAGTTGTATGGAAATAGGAAAGAGCAAAAAACGAGGAAGACTTTATAGTTTTGAGCCTAGGTGACTAAATCATATAATTAAAATAAGAATGAGCTGGGAACATCAAGACAGCAAAATGACAAGCAATAGAGCTTAGCTCCCCATAAATGCTAATCTACAATGGTCTAGAAAATGTACCAGACCAAATTCTGATCAGAAAAGCCAAGAAGCAAGTCATTTTTCTAGCCCAGGGTGGCACAGGGAGGCAAACAGAAGGGACTAGTGGGGACGTATAAGATCTGGCCAGGAGAACATGAGGCAGCAGGGAGAATTCCAGTGGCCAAAGATACAAAGAGGGCCGAGAAAGGACGCCACTGAAGGAAACACCAGAACAGAAGGAGATCCCAGGGGACCCCTGAATTAGCTCTGGGTAGATCTGGCAGAACTGTCACCCATCACCTCACAGACCCAAGGTAAAGAGAAGGGCTCTCAAATGTGCTGGCCCCAGCTGTTGAGCAAAGTTCAACAAGTTGAGCAAAGAACAAGTTGCAGAAATATGCTTGTATGGGCTCTAACCCCAGGAGCAGAGCTGTGACTCAGTTCTAGCTTTCAACCCAGCACATAAGCCTACAATGGAACACCCAGGAAGTAGTTTGAAATTAAAAGGGAGCCAGCATTTCAGTCTCTCCAAACCTGCAGAGCCTCCCAGCAAGCTAACAGTGACTGAGTCCAGCAGCAATCTATAGAAACTCCCAAGGATAGCCTCAAACCTGGGTCAAGAACTTACAGAGCTCAGACCATAAAGACAGTGAACAGACCTAGAGAGCACTGAAACTTGCAGGGCCCCAGACTAAACCATGAAACCAACAGCCGGACATAAAAAAACCAGAAGTTCCAGCCAAACATCCCCTCCAAACAGAGATTAGCACTAACATAAGGTCAGAAATCAAGAAGTAGGCTGGAAGAACATGCAAGAGGAAAAAAAAAAATGCCAACATTAAGAATTATGGTGACAAGGAAGTTCAAGATACGAACACAGAAGAGAATGTCTCAAAAGCACCAACAAGCAAAGCCTAAAAGAAAAATGCAGCAAAATCCAACAAGATTTCCTAGAAGAATTAAAGTAATAGTAAAATAAACAGCTAAAAATTATTTTAAAAAACAAATGAGAACAGCACTGGGACAGGGGAGAATGAGGGAGTGAGTTAGGGAAGGAAGATATGAAAATAGAAATTTAACGAAGAAAATAATTCCTTTAAAACTGGAATTGGCCAAATACAAACTAATGATTCCAAGAGACAGCAAAAAATAATAAAACAAAGTCAAAAGTCGGAAAAAAAGAAAAAGAAAATGTAAAATAACGCATAGGAAAAACAACTGACTTGGAAAATAGATCTAAGACAGGTAATTTTAAGAATCATTGGACTACCTGAAAGCCAGGAACCAAAAAAGAGCCTAGACATCATAAAAGAAAACTGTCAGGATATGTTAGAACAAGAGGGTAAAGTAGACACTGGAAGAATATACCAGTCACTTCTTGGAAGGGGAAAAAAAATAATCAAAAATGAAAACTCCTAGGAATAGTATAACCAAAATCCTAAGATCCAAAGTTAAGAAAGAGGAAAAAATGCTGTAAGAAGCCTAAAAGAATTCAAGAACCAAAGAGTCACAGTCAAAATCACACAAGATATAGCAGCACCACTAAAAAGAAACAGAGAGCTCAGAATATATTCCAGAAGGCAAAGGATCTATGCTTATAAAGAAAATGACCTTCCTACCAAAATTCAGTATACTCCGACAGGGGGAAAAAAAATGAGGACATCCAAGTATTCCTGATGAAAAGACCAGAATGGTGTAGAAAATGATACAAACACAAGAGACAAGAGAAGCATAAAAAGATAAAGAAATGAAAAAATCAGAAGAGACTAGTCAAGGTTAAACTATTTATATTCTTATACAGGAAGATGACACATGTAGCCCTTCAGAATTTTAACATTACCAGGGGTGAGTCTAATTAGACAGAGAGTTTGAGTGTGATTCTGTTATGTCTGAATGATCTCCAAAGAATGGAAAGAAGGGAAGATGAATGCATTAGGAGAAAGGGAAAAAGAGAAGGAAAATGGGGAAAATTATCTCACATAAATGATATGCACAA